CAAACTTCTTCGACTCCATCTCGTCTTGCGTCTTATTACAATAATAACACTTAGTAGATAGCTGTTCGCTCTTCTTGGATGCTTGAGATCTCCCGCGGCGAAGCATATACACACACACACACACGCAGTAGAGAGAAACAAAGCAGAACAAAAAGAGAAACAAGCATCGGAAAGTATAATGACACTTCCAACAGTGTCGATTTTGGTTGGTGTTGCTCCACAGCATTGGCACCACCGTTTATGCAGCGGCTCGTGCCTTGTTGTTGCTGTTTTGGGAGAGAGGCTTTAGCAGGGTGTTCCCAGTCGCTCTTCAACTGAGAGTAGCATATACGCGCGTACTTTCACTTATTTCACAAACTCTTCCTCTTCTTTCGGCTATCGCGGTTGCCCAAATTGGGTGGATTTGTGAGTGCTAGTACGTTTCTTCTGCTGAAAGCACCCGCAACGTATATGCGCCGAAGACAGGGGAAATCTGCGCGTCTTTGCAGCGGACCCCGAGGTACATGACGTTGTTGTCTTGTATGGTTACCTCCATAAAGAGTTTTTGCGCAGCAATGGTTTCTGCCGAGAGGAGAAGGAGCACAAGTTCCGACCCGTGCGGCTTGCCCGTGTAGACGGGATTTAGGCCGTGGAGGCGAAGGACGTTCGAAGTGTAACGTGTTGGGTCCGTCCGCAGTGGCGTGAGCGCCGTGGGCATCGTCCAGGATGGCGCCTGAAGCCTTCGAAATTGCTCGGCGAAGAGAGCAGTGTCTACGCCAGCTGCGGGGAGAAGCAGCAAGGCCGGTGGGACGGGGGGCGCGATAAAATATCGTGTCCCGATGGGGTCGGCGTTAACAGCGACGAGGAGATCACGCACGGGCGACTTCTCGTTGTTGGTGCCTGTCGTCAGCTGCACCGCGTCGGGCTCCTTTTGCCCCAACTCGAGCTCCACCACCGGGCACTCCTGCGCCAACCCCAGCGCGTATATGTTCCTATTGATTTGCAGCGCAAGTATCACCGCATGCCGTGTGTAGCCTTCCCCGGCAACGAGGGAGAAGCGGCAGTTTAGCAGCAGCTTGTTGCCGAGCTGCGCCCAACCCATGCGCACCTCCAGCCCGCTACCTTCGTCGGCGGACAGGGCCACCTGCATCGCTTCCGTGTCGCGAGCACCCTGGCCCCTGCGGACGAGGTTATCGGACGTTGTCCCCGCCGTGTCCTCAGCGGGAGCGGCCGGTGGAAGGAAGTGCCCCCGAGCCTCGTCCCCCGCGTTCTCCTCGTCCTCGTCGTTCTCGTTGAGGAGTGCGTCGTTGTCGTAGATGAGGTGCAAGGGGCGATGCAGCACCGAGGCCAGGCTTCCAATGCCTAACAAGAAGCTATGCAGCCGATGTTCCTCCAAGGCGTTCTCCACCGCGAACGTTGTGCCCTTTGCGAAGGTGAGGACAAGTTTTTTCGCCGCCTCACTGTCGCTGCTAACCAGACGCCAATACATGAAGGCGCGGTCACGCACATCTGGCAGCGGCGAGTGCGTCGCCATGGAGAGGACGCGCTGAAGGAAGTTGGTGTTGCGCTGCAGCTCCTCGGCGTCGCCGCGCAGGTAAATTTTTACAACAGCGGTTAGCAGCGCGAACTGCACGATCTCAGGCTGGGTGGGGAAAGTTTCCAAGGACATTTCCAGTATGTCCCCCACATTTTCGACGCGCTCCGCGTAGTCGCCGAGCACCCAGACGACGGCGGCTTTGGCCTCAGCGCCTTTCAGGTCATCCAGGAACTCGCAAAGTTTCTTCACAACATGCACAAAACGATTAGGGTAGCGTCGGAGAACCGTCTGCACCACGACTGCAGCCTCCTGCACAACGTGGCTAATACCGGTGTCCATGAGACCGAGCAGCCTTTCGACGCACTGCTTCGCGAGGGGCTCCAGCTTCGCCGCGAGAAATCCAATGGAACGCACTGCCTTTCGAACCAACTCCTCATCTGCGTCGGTGGCGTAAGCCGCGAACTCGGAGAGAACGATCTCTCCCACCTCCGTGTCGGCGAGCTCAAGCAGCAGCTCAGACTTTTCCAGCTTGACGTAAATGGGGTCATCGTATTTGACGAAAAAAACGCTTAGGTGGCGCTTAAGGAAACTCTTTAGTCCCGTCTTTAGCAGCAAACGAATGTTACGAAACACCGCGTATCGCACCTCAAAACAGGGCCCGTACAGCAATGAGACACAGGCACTAACCAATTGCGGTCCGTAGCGGCTCCGCAGTTGCGAGGCCTGCTCCTCCGCATTGCCCAAGTCCCCTCCAAGGTCCGAGGAGGTGAAGAGAGCGGACGCCTGCAGCAGAAAGGACGTGACGACCTTGATCGCCGACATCACGGTAGCGACATTGAAGGAAGCAAGAAAAGGCACTACCCCATCGACGGTCCTTGTAGCCTTCTCCAGGTCCAGCACAAATACATTCTTCTTAAAGGCCACGGCAACGCCCTCAATAAGGTAATGCTTGTACCAACCAGTCGCGTCACTGGCAGCTTCAAGCAGTCGGGGGACGTTTTCTACAATGGCCTCTTCCAGAGCGACAGGGGCATTTCGCTGGAGAAGCTCCAAAATGGCCGCCACTGCCGATGCCGCCACGCATGCATTTTCATCCTGGAGTAATTTCTTGAGCTTCTCCAAAAGTCCGGTCTCTTCGCAAACGTTGGGCGCCACGTAAAAGAGCTTAAGCGTACCAAAGGCGGCGATGCGACGGACATAGGGGTCACTGTCTTCTAGGCAGCGCTGAAGCGGGGCGGTGACAAAGTCCACCATAGCCGGAACAAGCAGGGAGATCATCGTGCGCAGCGCCGCCCCCCGAATAAGTGGGGAGTTGTGAAGTGTATCCTTTACAAACGTTCCGGCCTGCAGGACTGCCTTTTGCGGCTGGGTGTGGCTGTTGTGCATGAGGTACAGGTACACGAGACGCTTGATCGCCAGATTCGTAGATGAGCACAAGGGGGCAACGTCACTAAAGTGACCCGACATGTCTCTTCCAATGGTCATAAAGGCTAGCACCTGCTGCAGCGCAGCGAGCTGGCGAGTTTCATTTTGGCTCAGGAGGTCCTCACGGACGATCGTTGAATCAAACGCACGACTAAAGAGGGTGGAGGCGCCAAACTGGCCAATGCCAGGCATCTTTTGTTATCGTCGTCGTTGTTGAATTATTACCTATCCCTTCCTTGCCAGCTGCTTCCGTGAGCACGCAGGGGCAGTGAGCAGGGACTGTACTGTTGTGCGTCGCCGACGGAATGGCCAGCCAAAACGCGCCCGCCCAATGACCCCAAGCCGGGGATAAAGCCAGAGGGGAGAGCAACATAAAACGAAAGAAGAGAAAAACAGTGGATGTAAAAAGATGGTCAAACCGTCACAAATCCTTCTTGGGGAAGGGAAGGGAAGGGGAGAAAAGGGAAGGGGAGAAAAGGGAAACAGGCTGAGTTTGCCGCCGACGCCTCCCCACCGAGGCCCAAAAAAACGAACAGATGGGGGGGAAGAATAAAAAACACACACACAGGTAAAGAAAAAAGTTTTCCTGCAAACTTTGTCCACTTTGTTTATTGTGTCCAATCCCATTCATACAATAAATTTCATGCACCGTGTTGCGTCGTGCGTCACGTGGCAGCCAATGGAGCAGAAGAGCGCTCTGCGGCACCGCACACACCTGTAGCTCGCGGGAAGAAGGCAGACTGCGCACAGATGGTACCCACCTGAGTGTAACGGCGGGGGCGCCGCCATTGCCGCGTAGCTTGGCGCAGGCAGCACCGACGGCTCCGACGGGAAACGTCGCCGTGACTGACACCACGCACTTAAGTTATGGCACTCTCGCCCGACGTCGCCAAGAGGTTGCACCCCGTCGAACGACACTCCACGGACGGGAACGCTGCCGCCATGCAACTCCCCTCTTACGCGCCTCTTCCTCTCACTAGACTGACGCTCACCATCGCGGGCCCGTTTGCCGCGGTTTGTGGTGGTATCCACCCCATCCGCCTCCGATGATGCCGCGGAGGAGGAGACGGTCGAAGACGCGCCTTCCTCCTTCTTGTGATCGCGCCGATCACCGTCAAACGCCTTGAGGTAGGCGCGATGCTGCTCCATCAGGCAACGGCTGAGGTGAACGCGCGGCGGTGCGGCAGACGGGGTGCCACTAGGCTCTAAAAAGTTCACCTCTACGTCGGCAGCGCCCACCGCCGCCCCGGCGCAGCGCTGCCGCTTCAACACCTCCTCGACATTGACGAACGCGTTGTCATCACAAAGCCTCGCAAGACGCTCCTCCTGCAACTGCTGTTCAAGGGCATCCTGTCCACGTGCAAAAGCCATCCCGTGGAGCCGCGCTCCTTCAGTCACCGCCCCACCTTGCGCTACTTCGCCACAGCCATTCATCGCCAGAAACAAGAAAAAAAAAAGACAGAAACAACACCAACAAACAAACGAGGAGGCTCTGTAACCCTCAGCACACCTTTCCCGCCCACGCATACGCATATAAACACATAAGCAAGGCTCAAGTGACAACAACAACAAAAATGAGTAAAATAGTAAAATATGGAAAAGAAAAAAAACAGCTTGGGACAGGAAGAAGACGACAGTGAATAGAAGGTCACGCCTTCTTGCTTACCGGTTGGCCTTGGCGACACGCTCCACCTCGTCCTTCTTCTTGATGGCGTAGGAGTTGGAGCTGCCCTTCGACGCATTCACGATCTCGTCTGCAAGGCACTCAGGAAGGGTCTTGAGGTTGCGGAACGCGGCCTCGCGGGCCCCCTTGCACATGAGGTAGATCGCCTCGTTCACACGACGCATCGGCGACACGTCAACGGCCTGGCGGCGCACCACACCACCGGAACCGACACGGGTCGAGTCCTCACGGGGCGCACCCTTGGACACGGCATCGATCACCACCTGCAGGGGGTTCTGGTCCGTCAGCAGGTGGATGATCTCGAGCGTGTGCTTCACGAGGCGCAC